CCCCCGTGTTTCACCGCGCCTCAGCGGCGCGTCAGGCGGCGGGGGAGGAGGGCGGCCCCTCGGCGGCCCCGGTGTGTTCGGGTGCTGAAACGGGCGGGTGGCAGAGGAGCGCGGCCGCCCCTTCGGTCGGAGTAACGTGGCTCTGCAGCGAGTGTTTTCACGGCTCGGGCTGCACCGCTGCGGCGCCTCGGCGAAGCTAAACGTCACGGGTGGCTCTTGCAGTGACTTTTTCGGAAAAAAGTCTCATGCGGTGGGCTGCTGCGGATGTGAAACGGTCTAAAACCTGTTTTTAAAAAAACCACTGCGTTGATTTATTATTTTCCTGCTCCAGTCCCTTATGTGCGTTTAGGCCTGTGTTCTTCAGTAGCTCCGAGCGTGAAGTGAGTGGGCAGAAAAAAAAAGGCGGTGGTTAGGTCTTTGCAGCGTGCTTTCCTTTGTCAGACCAAAACACTTCATGAAACTACGGTTTTTCCGTCAGCAGTCCTCGGGGTGCAGCGCTGACTGGTGACCTGTGGTGCCTCACCTGCCAGGGTCTCCGGTGTTGAGGGCGGCCACCTCAGGCGTGGGATCTCTTTGAGACCAGCTGACTGCCAGGCTGGCTCTTCTGCCGTGGAGCTTAGTTTCCCCCACTTAAGCCCTTACAGGTTCTGTATCAATACCTCTGGAAGTAGCAGTTCGAGTGTTAATGCTGTCTGTCCTTAGTCCAGGCTCAGATCACTAGTACATATATCCAATTTCTGCCGGTGTTGCAGTGGTCATTCAGTTATTCCAAACAAAGCTGTTCCGATGGGAAAGGTTTGCTGTGCTCGTCTGCTTTTCTCATTTTTTTTAATCCAGAAGAGGGAGCAATAGGAAGAGAGAGCAAAGCTGCTGCCTTAGCTGACACCATAGCAACACCAAGCTCCGGGTCCGTAGCTTGGCTTCCTACTGAAGTCCTGACTACCCACTTGTTTGAGCTGATGCAGCCTTTCCTATTTGTATTTGCATTGAGGGCTTATTCACTTTCTTTCTATCAACACACTGATACTTGTTGCAAGTATCTATATTGTGTATGAATCCACCGAACAAAATAAGTTAAACATCATTAGGCCATGGTTTCGTGATACCAAGTGTTTTGGCAGTATCTAGTCTAGGTTATCCAGCTGAATATAGTGGGATAATCCCTCTCTTGACCGGCTGATTATGCTGTGTTTGATGCACCCCGGGATGTGGTTTGCCCTCCTGGCTGCCAGAGAAGCATTTGTCTTACGTCTGTGATATGACATTGCCACGCTAGATGTAGTGAACAAAATAAATGTCTGTTGATTCATTCTTAAATTTGCATTTCTTTCATCTTTATATGGATAACATAGAATCACAGAATGGTTTGGGTTGGAAGGGACGTTTAAAGATCATCTAGTTTCAACCCCTGACATAACAGCTCTGTCAATAGTTGTAACTTTTAGCATGCAAATTCTTGCCCTTTTTTTTTAATGAAGAAAAACTGAAGATGTAGCTTGTGTAATCACACTGATGTTAACATGTGGTGTTTCACATCGTGAAACGTGAGCAGAGTTAAAAGCTTGGTTGTTCATTTCCTTGTGCATCCCTGCCTCGGAAGATAAGGGAGTGACTGAGGTGAAGTGCCGGTTGCTGCTCTGCCTGCAGGTCAGCACAGGGGGAGCTGAAATGGACTTTACCAGGAGATAACCAGTGTCCATTGGTGTCTGAGAACTGACGCTACTCAAACCCCGCGACCTTTAATCAGGACCAGGATGGGAGCTGGTCGGTAGTTAGACAGACTCAAAAGCTCATCCCTGGTATAAATCCTTTACCTTTCCTTCTTCAGCTTGTCACTGTCCAACCCATGGGACACACTCATCTCCTGATTCTTTGTCTCATGATGATTCTTCGAAGCTGGCCTAGATGCGCTCCTGCTGGAAGAATCATACTTCCTTTGGCCCGTTCGTCCCTGCCTCTGCGCTGTCCTTGTACCAGCAGGAGAGAAATGCTAGGGAATGGCTAAAAATAACCAGAGGCGCAGAAGGGGGTTTTGTCTATTTCAGCGTTGAGGCCACATTTGTTAACGTACAGATGCGTTGATGTGATATGTCTTGAGTTGATCTATCACTGTTGTTGAAGGTGAAAGGTCCTACTCCTGTCTGTCCTTGAGAGGTTCCCAGTGCCTGTCTGATGGCATGGTAGATTGCTTAGAATCGCCAAATACGGCAGAAATTAACCCAGTAAAGCCAAAACAAAAGGTACTTTTTCATTTGGTTTCTGAATTGAATTGACGTAATTTTCAGGCAGATAGTCACCAGAGCCAGCTTGCCCCAGAGAGGGCAAGTCAGAGCAACAATAATAGGATGGCCACTTCTAGCAGCTGTGAAACATTCATTTCAGTCTGATTTGAGATGTATCCTTGGCTCTGTTTCTCTCCATCCCCAAAATTTTCTTCTCATGCTTTCTTATCCCACTGTCCTGCTCTGAGTTGTTTTGAGTTCTGGTTACTTCCTCGCTTTCCTGTTGCTCTACCATTGCTACATCCGTTTCTCTTCCTCACCTCGTTGGTTTTAGCTTCCTGACACTCTGAGCTCTCCTCCATTCTGCCTTTGATTTATATCTTTCCACTTTTCCATGGCTTTCAGGGAATTTCATTCACAGACTTCTCATTAGATCTCGGCCTCCCTCCTTACCCTTTCCTTTCTTTGCTCCCAGAATCTATGCTTAGCAATTCCCATTCCTCCCTCTCTACTCTTTCCTGTGGCTCCCCACCCCAATCCGTAGCTGTATCCTCACCTGTGTTGATTATTAGTCTCAGTCAGTACCATGAACATACAAATTTTTAATCCCCATTCTCCCAAGTCTCTTTCTACTCCACTTCTTTCACCGTGTCCAATGACTTTTGGACAGGCTTTAAATGCCGTTTCCCCATCATGAACCGGTCTCTGTCTCTATTTTGTTTCTGGTTGTCCTGTTTAGGCTGCAGTTCCACGAACAAACGCTCTTTCAGGGGAGTGCTGGATTTTGCAGTTATTTTTATGCCTCTTCACTTCCCTGATCCAGTTTATTGCGTAGCCCACGCAAACAGTTGTGCCAGCATAACAGAGAGGAATTGGGATAGAAAGCATGTGTGTTAGCCCTGATGTTGGACAACATGTCAGTGGGACCAGTCTCCTTCCTTAAACAGTTTTGGTTTTACTAGTTCTTTCCAGCTCACAAAGCTGCTCCCAATTTCTCTCTTCCTCTGCAGCATCAGACTCAATAAACTGCCTCTCAGTTTGCTCCTTGCACTCCAAGTCCTTTCTCTTACCTGTCTGCATTCAGAGTAAACGAAGCTCTGCTTTCGTGGTATCAGGGCACCGGGTGGCTGGAGAAAACTGTTGTGTGGGTTTTGTCTGGTTTTTAAGTGCTTTTTATCCAGTGGTGTTTCTTGTACCAAAATGGGAAACTTCTTGATAGTAGTCTTTATTCCTATTTATCATTCATCTGTTGGTTCCCTCTCATCTTGAACTTACTTTACCTTTATAAGCTGGGGTGTTGTGGGTTTTTTTTCCTTCTTAGTGCTGGAATGGATCTGTGTGTCCAGGTTAAAGTCTTTCCTATTAAAGCAGGAAACAAAACAAGTGACAGGTCTGTCTGGGTGCTTTGTAACTAGTTGTCGTGGTTTAACCTCAGTCGGCAACTGAGCACCACGCAGCCGCTCGCTCACTCTCCCTCCTCCCCAGTGGGATGGGGGAGAGGATCAAAGAGTAAAAGTGAGAAAACTCATGGGTTGAGGTAAGAACAGTTTAATAATTGAAATAAAATAATAATAGTGATAATAATAAGAAGAAGAATACACAAAGCAAGTGATGCACAATGCAATTCCTCACCACCCGCTGACCGATGCCCAGCCAGTCCCCGAGCAGTGGCCCCCCTGGCCAGCTTTCCCCAGTTTATGTACTGAGCATGACATCACATGGTATGGAATGTCCCTTTGGCCAGTTTGGGTCAGCTGTCCTGGCTGTGCCCCCTCCCAGCTTCTTGTGCACCTCCAGCCTTCTCAGTCGGTAGAGCATGGGAAGCTGCAAAGTCCTTGACTAGTGTAAAGCATTACCTAGCAACAACTAAAACATCGGTGCATTATCAACATTGTTCTCATCCTAAATCCAAAACACAGCACTGTACCAGCTACTAGGAAGAAAATTAACTCTATCCCAGCCGAATCCAGGACACTAGTAGACTGTCCTTGTTCTGTGTCTTGTGCTTAAGACAAGTAAAAGCTTTATGAAGCTCTCTTGAAGGACTCGATTTCTGCCTAACCTTTGTCAGCTAACAATGGAACCGTAATCTTTATCAGGTTTTAACTTGCACCATCAAAAAGTCTTAGTTCTTTAACTGGAGATGTAATTTCCTGGTACGGAAATAAAACCATTTACGTGGTTTTATTGCATCTCATCTTTTCATCTAACCCTTGACTATTCATAAAGCTAACAATGTCTTTTCCCCACCAAAACATCTTTCTGTCTTGTCAGTCATGGGCTCAGTGCTTGAAATATTAAAAGGATAGCTGCTGTCTGTGTTTCAGGATGCTAAACCATCAGTAGGATCAGATCTCCATTATATTGGATGGCTGTTCGTGCTGCGTGTGTGTAAACTGGCGCTGGCCCTGCATGCGCTGCCCTGGATCTGGCAAGGCCTCTTGTCTTGGGACCGTTGCTGGTCTTTGCTTACACCAGCTGGCTCTGTGTTGGTTGAGCCTGTGAGGGTACCTGTGTTCAGTGTCTCGTTTGGGGGGCATTTGCTGTTAGGATCAGTGGCTAAGCTACTTCTGGACCCAGTGTACATGGTACTATATCCAAATAAGTCTGTAAAGAGCTGTGCCTGCTGGTGGGGACAGTGCCAGAAACAGCTCAGGCCTGTTGGCAGTGTTAGCGTCTGAATTTTCCCTTTGCCCCCCCCCCCTCATTACTCCAGAGGGTGAAGGGTTGACTGGAGCATGAGAGCTCCATCCACCGCCCCGGCCTTCTGACAGCAATGATTCTTTGAAGTCTAAATGCCTAAATCATCCCTTTTTCATCAGAGTACTTAAGTCTGTGCCTGCTGTTCACGCTTAGCTGAACTGGGAATAACCTTAATCATTAAACCATTCCTAAAGCAGGCTGGCAATTAAATTCCACTGATCTATGGTCTCCCATTCTGTGTAAGTACAAATGATGTGATTCTTCAATAGTAAGCTTCAAATGCTTTATTAAGGTGGTAGTTTCTTTTGAATATACCAGTTTATACCATATGCATTGCAAATTAGTTGTTTGATAAAACAGGGCTTTCTAGTCCTGTTCTGGAAGACACTCATGTAGTAAGGATTAATAATGTACTAATTTAATTGGGGGGGGGTTGTTCATTGAAATATGGTGCTGAAAAAAGCAACTTCTAGAAGTTTGTTTAGATATCGTCTCTAAATGCTAGACAGAGCAATGTCTGAATAAACTTAATTCCAGGTAGATATGTGTTTTGGGAATACCAAGATAGATCATACTCATTTGAAATGTTTAATAAGTATCCCAAATAACTCTGGATGTTCAGTTGCAGGACCAGCACTGCCTCCAGGCTATAAAAGCAGCTGCAGCTCAGAAACTCCTGACAGCGATGATGACTCGGAATCTCTTCCTCTACGCGGAGACGCAAACAGAGATTCCGAAGAGGAGACAGAAGGAGATCCAGCACCCAAGTGAGTATGTTCTTAGGTTATTTGTATATTTATTGTTATATTGCAAATGAAATGTGTCTGCATAAATTATGAGAGAGGGACAGTATTATATAAATAAAAAGGTAAACCCTGTACCTGTGTAAAACTTGATGGCATGTTCCGCATGTTCTTTGCGGTCAAGAACGTTCAGCTGACCTGTTTGACACCCTATGGTGGAATTAAGTTATTTAGGGCAATCAGATCTCTGCATTTACAGGTCTTATTTTAGTTCTGCAATTAAAGTAATAAAATCCTTAATGTTTTGCTTGTTTATACTAAGGACAGACACCGCTTATCATGTATGTAAGTATTTGGTACTTGAGTTTTGCCCTGTTTCTGGTATACTACCTCTTATCGAGAGGTCATGAGAACTATTTATGGGCATGAATTTATGCATTCAGTTAAGTCAACTCTAATGAAAAAAAAAACTGAATTGTTCAGCAAATAACAGGAGTTTGCACACACTCTCATTTGGTGGGGTTGTTTACTCACAATTGCTGTGTTAAGAACTTGTATGTGTTTGTGCTAGGCCTTGTATAAGGGACTTGAAGGGCGTTACACCATCTTAATGAGTGTTAGAGTAATTATTACTCCCTTTTTTTTTTGTTGTCTCATTCAACAGTTTTTCAGTTCATTAGCATGGAACTGGGAAAAATACTAGTCAAAATGCAGACAGGGTATAAAAATGGAGAAAGAAGTGTGCTGAATTTAAAGTTACTTTGTGACTAGAAAATGGTATTTCAACATTATACTACTCTTCTTTCTACAGCAAAAGCATTCTTAATGTTTTTTTAAATGTCAGAGCATTTTTGGAGTGAAGCTTATGCTCCCAATTTTTTAATTGCTTCAGATGATTTTGGATCCTTTTGCACTGTTTCCTTGGTAACAGCAGGATATTTAGTACATAAGACTGTCTGAAATAATTTTATGTATTTTTTTTCCTTTTTAAAATGTAGATAATTGCTATGCATGTCAAGGTAATTATTAAGTGAATTCTTTGTATTTGCAGAAAGCTGAAAAGAATTCAGGAAGATGATGATGATGATGATGATGGCTTTTTTGGGCCTGCTCTTCCTCCTGGATTTAAAAAACAGGATGATTCTCCAGAGAGGTAATTAAAATGGAATTATATTTAGACTCTTTTCCTTAAAACACAATTATTTTAGATAAATTATTTTGTGGCACTACTACAGAACACTTCAATTGTGCACTTCAGATTCAGACGATTCGAATTGCTTTCTCCACATTCTGAGAACAGGAACAGCATTCCCTTGAAACAGAACACACGGCCCTCCTAGTCCTGGTTGTAAGGTTGGAGAGAAAAAGAAAGAATGTGAATTGTCTGAGTTATATTTTGAATGTCATATTTCTTCTCTTTCTTATGATAGGTCTCAGATCAGTGCAGAAAAAACAAATTACAGGTACAAGGACCCATAGTTCTGTAGTTCATTCTGGGCTGTGAGGGAGTAGGGCAGTTTGCATTGTTTTGCACCACACAAAAGCTGATCATTGGAATTGTCGTTTGCTAATGCACCAAGGATTATTGTTTATGTGTCTCCAGGTAGAACAGTGTAGGTTTCTAGAAAGTAAGCTGTCAGGTCTAAGCAAATAAGCATTATTTATAGCCTCTATCAGGAAGCTTTCCACTTGATTGCACGCAACTATAAAATACTTCCCCCAAAAAACCTACTTATGGATTTTCTATGCAGAACTTAACCATGTCTCACAGCCTTCTAGTCTTTACATCAATCTGTGTGCTTCCTTCTATAATTTGAAATGATAATCCATAGTGAAATTGGTACTTCCAAGGGGCCGCTTATTGATGAAAGGTACAAGAGTGTCCCTTGATCACTATTATCTTCCTTAGAGCAATAGGGAGCTGGTAAATAAAGTAAATCAATACCTACCTGTCAGGTGTGAGTTTTCAGTTCTAGGAAAGTGACTCAATTTGTTGTTGAGCTGTGTATGTAGTATACCATCTCGAAGGAAATTTCAAAGTTGAAATTTTTTTTGGTTTGGATAAATTTTTATGCTGCTTGGCAGCAGTTAGGAAGACAAGAATTTATGTAACTAAGGTTATTTGGAAGTACCCTCTTTGTATCTGTTTGGTTACACTTTGCTGTAATCAACAAACTCCTGTAATTGTGGGTATCATGCTCAGTGGGTTCATTTGGTGCTTTGATGGTCCCAAGAGTAGCTAATATTTTTTCTTGCGTTTCATATGCACAATATTTTAATTATAAAATTTAGGAAGTCACTAAAAATAATGTGATCTCTAATAAAACAAATAAGTGCTTGTAGCTTTTAATATCAACAATATCTTGCTTTCTTGATTTTTGACATGAATACTCCTGTGGCAAAATGTTACGTCAAAGTGTGCAAAGGAAAAGAGCAAGAAAAGAAGCAACTTGTAGTTTCAAGGTTAGAGAGATGAGCAGTAACACAGGTGGTCACCCATCATATAGTCTTAGTCTTTTGTATGTTCACCCAATTTTTATTTCTGCTTAGCAGTTTATTTCCAAAATGCTGGATAACTTGCATTTACATTCAGAGGGCGAGAGTCTGCTTTGTGTCTCTGAGTATGAGGGATTAAAGCAGTAAAAGGCACTTGCCAGTTTTTTGTTTTTTTTTTTTATCCTAGCTCACCATACAACTGCTCCTAGCGCACACTGAGAAAGCAGATTGAGCAGAGCTGTTTTGCACCCAGCCTGATTCCCTGAATAGGTGGGAAAGGTGTGATGTGCGGGAAGAGCCTTGTCTATCTTCCACCCCCGTACACCTGGCAGTCTAGTTGTGCTGACACACTGAGGCGCATAAGCTGCGCAGGGTGTAGACACAATGCTGTTAACTGTCTCCCCGCTGCATTGCCCCTAGCGTTGAGCAGATTGCCAGCTGGCGATCTAGCCATGAATAATTGAAACAAATGCAGGCTGTTTGTTTCAATGTATGGACATACTGTTTATTAGCTCCGTGTGACATACTCTTTCTTTTAGAAAAGCTTTTGTTCTGTTAGATCTTTTCCAGACTTGTCAAAGCAACATATTCATGATTAGGAGCAGCTCATATGGCAGTTTGCAGCTTGTTAAAAATTGTTTGAATCATTCCAGCGTGAAATATATATACGAACAGATTTCCTTCAACTTTGGAATGGATGTTGCTGTTTATCAATGTTAGACAGAAGTGCAGCACCCGTAGTGTTCCCGAAGTATTCACACATCAAGATAAAGAGCAAAGGTTATCTTAAACGATTTTATGTTATGCATCAGTGGAGTGCTGAAATGCCCATCCTGAAACATGCATTAGCAAGGACTCCAGGTCCAACAACAGGACAGTGTTCTTTGCCATATATGAAATCCAATATTCCTTCAATGAAAGCTTAATTCATTATAAGTTTGAGGTGCTTTTTTGAACGTATATAGATAGGTTCTGAAGTTGCCAACAGCAGCAAAATGTGTTTAACAGAGTTTTACTTAGATTCATTTCACCTGTTTAGAGAGCCTTTGGACATCCAGGAAACTGTCAAGAACCGGGTCGGCTGTGTGCTGCTGAGGAAAGACCCGAGCAACGGGGTTATTCGTGGGGGTGGGGGGGGGAAGCATAGAAATGGAAAGCGTGGGAGGGATGAATATGGGAACCATTTTTCTATTCCCTGGAAGAGCCTTTGAGCTGTGACAGAAGCAAGGCAGAGTATTTGAGATCTGCTCTTTTTCATAAGTTGCACAGATACAGCCACAGCATAGATGTTCTTATATATTTTAGTGGAAAGCTTTTTTTTTTTACAGTTTGGTTAAACTGTCTCGCCATGCAAAATAAAGGTACTTGTATACTAAAATAAAATATTATTTTGGCTGTATCTGTATAGGTTTAAATTCAATCTCTTTAAATTATATTGGGAATTTAAAATATGGTCTTAACAAGAAAGCAGTCAGAAAGGAACGGAAGAAAATAAAAGCTGCTTCTTTTTTGCAGTAGCCAGGTGGGGGTGGAACTTCAAATTTAACCCAGACCTCTTGCCTGGGTTTGAAACCTCACCAGTGCTCTTGTCCTGGCCTGAGCTCGCATTTATTGCTTGTGTCTGTCTATCTGTGGTTGGCTTTCTGGCAGGACTTTCTTCTTTTTATTTCCCCTCTTCAAATCCTGACAGTAATATCACTACAGCAGGGCTGTACTGATTAGATTACGTGGGATTTAGCAGAAGACCATAATTACCATAATTCAATTCATGTTGTGTTACGTTTGATCACTCTAAAGCTCAGAAACTGAAGATGATAATAAACAAAGTCTCTGCTGATACATTGTGAGGGTACTGTCACTTGGATATTTCTTCAGGTGATAATTGTTTGGGGTTTTAATTGGCTTTAAAGAATATGACGGTGGATTATTAAGAGGAACTCGCATACAAAAGTCCTTTCAGTACTGCAAGCACAGTTTGTAGTATGCTTTGAACTGTTTTCACCATTCAAGAGAGATTCTCACCTTTCTGTGTTCCTGGAGACAATTGAATTATACTGCTTGCAGAGCTGCTGTGTGAAAACAAATCAGCGAAGTTACCTGGGATCACAAAACTTTTCTTCTCTTGTCCCCACTCCAAGGGAAAATAAACTTAAAATCAGAGCAGTTCACTGATTTTGTTTATTGAAGGACAGTGAAACTGTGGTGCAAGGCAAGAATGAACAAAATTGGCTTTGTTGCTAGAGAAAGAGTAGCGTATATTTGACCTCCCACCTTTCATTGCTCTTGAATCTGGTGAAGGAAGCTAGGCAAGAAAAAAGTGGATTTCCTTGACTACATCCTGCAACTTTCCCGGTTTTCTTGCATCCCAGCTATCTGCAGAGGTCCTCCTGGAAAACAGAGAAATTCTTCTTATTCAGTTATTTCTATGGTGTGTGCATAGGGAGGAAGGTTGGACTGTTGTGGACGTAGAAACTCTTCTTTTTATCTTTTTATTAATCTATTACATTTTATATTAATCTATTATA